TAAAAAAAAAAAAAGAAACAAAAAATGGGATGAGATGAAACAAAAAAGATCTCCAGGTCACATGTTCACACACATGAGCGTGTAGCTCCAGGACGCATGCTCACATACATGAGCGTGTAGCTCCAGGACACATGCTCACACACATGAGCGTGTACCTCCAGAACACATGCTCACACACATGAGCATGTACCTCCAGGACACATGCTCACACACATGAGCGTGTACCTCCAGGCCATATGCTCACACACATGAGCGTGTACCTCTGGTCTAACTTCCACTTTCAAGTCTTGCACACATACATGATTTTACTATCAATATGAAGGATAGGATCCAGAAAGGAGAGCAAATCCAAGCGGCCTCTTTGTGAGCCTTCTACACTGATCTCCAGTTGTGTCCTTTCTCCTGTAAATGACAATATCCTGCCCTTCCACATGGCTGCAGAAAACTACATTGTGCATATGGACCGTAGTTCTCTATCTCCACTGATGGGCATCTGGGGCTGGTGCAGGAGTAAACCGGAGGCACAAGTGTCTCTGATCTGTTGATGTAAGTGCTGTGGATACATTTCCAGGAGACATGTGGCTGACTGATGTGGCAGTTCTATTTTCGGGGTTTAACGGACCCTCCACACTGATTCCCACAACATCTGTACATTCCCACCATCTCAACTGAGGTCTGATTTTCCTACAGTAAAATTCTCCATCTTTTATTTTTTTAATTAAAAGTTTTCCATGTATTTTGAACGTATTTCCACTCCCCAAACTCCTCCCGGATCTTCCCTACTCCAATCCCACCCATCTTGATGTTCTCTCTCTTTCTCTCAAAAGTAGGAAAACCAAACAGACAAGACAAAACAACAAAAAAAGAACACTCCCTAAAATCCCCCAAATCAAAACAAACAAGGAAAGGACCAATAATAATAATAATAATAAATAAAAAACCTGGTTAAAGCAAAAGGAAACAAGTCAACAAAAACAGCATTGAGCTCCTTTTGTCTTGGCCAACTATCCCTGGGCGAGGGGCCTGCCCTGGAGCATGGCTATCCTCTAAGAGCCTTCCTTTGTCAGTGGGGGATTAATTGCGGAGAACTTCTTGGTTGTGGATGGGAGCCCATTCCTCCTCCCTGTCTCAGGGCTTTCACCACCGCGGAGCTCATGTGAGCAGCCGTCCTGCTGTGTCTGCACGGTGCTGTCCTGTGCTTCACTGCTGCCATCCATCACCTCTGGCCAGTAGCCTTTCCTCCTCCTCTTCCTCATGGTGCCCTGAGCCCTGATGGTCTGACGGAGACATCCCAGTTAGGACTGAGCTCTCCTAAGTCTCTCACTCTCCACGCGTTGGCCAGTTGTCCCACTGACTGCAAGAAGCTTCTCTGATGATGGTTGAGCAAGACACCGAGCTATGGGTACAGCAGAATGCCGTTGGGAGTCATTCCATGGCTGTGTTTACTAACGGTGACAGAATTAGGTTTCCTCCATAGGCCTGTGCCCTATTTAGTCTCAGGTTCTTAGCTACTTTAGTAGTGACAGCTATGGGTTCCATTCCATGAAGTGGGCCTTGAATCCAGTAAAACTGTGGCTGATTACTGATGTCATGTTTGTGCTGCTGTTACACCAGTGCGTCTTGCAGGCAGGTCACCATTACAGGTCTTGGGATTTATAGCTGGGTTGTGTTGATGAGTACCTTTTTTATTGGTAGGTGTGGAGTCCCTTCAGTACCATGGACTCTAGTCAGTAGGAGAGAAGCTTCTAGCTGGGCACCAGCTTGACTTCTCTGTGTTTGGTGACGTAAGTGTTGACTCCAGCAATAGGGTCTGACCAAGTTGTGGAGAGCAAGCCATAGCCTCAGCAACAGCCTGGGGTGTTTGCAGGTTTCCATGGGACCCTTTGGCCAACACCGCCACAGATGTAACCCATTCCTGGCAGTGGAAGTTTTACTTGGTAGCAGGAGACGTATAGTTGGAGCTCTGCTTAGATGCTTTTCATATATGTTCATATTTTAGTTTCCCATATGGTTTTACGGTATTGTTAGCTGTCCCTCCCCATGTTCCCTCCTTCACCCTGCTCCCCATTCCCTCCTTGTTTAATCCCCATATTCCAGTTTCCCCTTTGTCTCTTCATAACAGTGTGCTCTGTTTCTCCACCTTAGAAGATCCCCTCCTGCCCCTAGACCCTTACTAGGTACCCAACCTCTGGGGTTTTTGGATCATGGCAGGCGTATTGGATTGAAAGTTTACAAGCTAGCTTCCACATAAGGGAGGAAACACACAACGTTTGTCTTTTTGGATTTGAGTTACTCGTTCAAGATGATACTTCTAGATCCATTCATTTGCTTGAAAATTCCATTTTCTTATCAGCTGAATAATATTCCACTGTGTGCACGTACCACATTTCCATTATCACTGTTCCATTAGCACTGTCAGTTGCTGGACATCTAGGCTGTTCCATTTTCTGGCTATTCTGAATAGAGCAGTAATGGACGTAGGTGAACAGCATCTCTGGAATAGACTGTGGAGACCTCTGAGTGTATGCCCAAGAGTGGGATAGGTAGATCTTGGGGTAGATAAACTCCCAGTTTTCCAAGGAACCGTCACCCTGATTTCCACATGGCTGTCTCAGTTAGCACTCCCAGCAGCAATGACAAGTGTGCCCCTCCCCCACACCCTCGCCAGCGTTTGCTCATTTGTCTTATTTGATCTTGGCCATTCTGACAGGTGTAAGAGGAAATCTCAAAGTGATTTTGATTTGCATTTCCTTGATGACTAAGGATGCTGAACATTTCTTTAAGTTCCTGGTCATTTGTGCTTCCTCTTTTGAGAATTCTGCCTAGTTCTACACCCCATTTTATTCCCCCTTTGGTTTCTTAAGGCAGGGTTTCTCTGTGTAGCAGCCTTAACTGTCCTGGAACTAGTTCTTATAGACCAGGCTGGCCTCGGACACACAGAGATCCGCCTGCCTCTGCGTTCCAAGTGCTGAGATTAAAGGCGTGCACCACCCTCGCCTGACTCCTACATTCCATTTTTAATTGAGTTATTTGTTTTCTTGATGTCATTTTTTTATTTCTCTATATATTTTGGATATTAGCACTCTATTGGGTGTGTAGTTGGTAAAAATAATTTCCCATTTTGTAGTCTGCTGCTTTGTCTGGATGACAGTGTCCTTTGCCATGCAGAAGCTTTTCCGTTTCAGGAGGTCACATTTATTAATTGTTGATCTTAGCACCTGTGTTAATGGTGTTCTGTTCAGAAAGTCGTCTCCTGTAACAAAGGGTTCAAGGCTATTCTCCGCTTTCTCTTCTATCAGGTTCAGTGTATCTGGTTTAGTGTTGAGATCTTTGATCCATTTGGAGCTGGATATTTTGCAGGATGAGCAGTACGGCTCTATCTGCATTCTTCTACAGTAGACAAGCGTTTACTAAAGATGCTGTCTTTTTTCCCCAGTGTGTATTTTTGATTTTTTATCAAAGACCAGGTATGCATAGGTGTGTGAACTTATGCCTGAATCTTCCATTTGATCCCACAGATCAGTGTCTGCTTCTGTGCCAGTATCATGGAGTTTTCATTCCTCGAGTCCTGTAGTAAAATTTGAGGTTGGGGATGGTGAAACCTCCCGCAGTTCTTTTATTGTTTTGGGTTGTTTAACTATCCTGGGTTTTCTGTGTTCCAGAAGCTGAAGGGTGATTTTTCTCCCCCAATATCTGTGAAAAATTATGCTGGAATTTTGATGCAGATGACCATATTAATGGTTCTGTGAGATAGATTTCATGTGTAACCCACTTGGGTCAGGATGTGGACTATTCCATGCCTTCCAGAAAGTTCCTTTGTACGACCCTGCAACCGAAACTCCTCTCATCTCCACCACCCTGAGCTAAGTAGACTCTTCGGGGACTCGATCACCATGCTGCTTAGGCAGGCATGGTCTCTGTGCAAGTGCTTAGGAGCCACAAACACAAGAACATGTGTGTTTCTCCCTCAATACAAAGCTATGGTGTCGAGTCGTGAGGAAGAGAATTTCACACACTGTCCAGTGTGTAGCTGGGGGCTTCACTGCTGGGCACGCTCTCATGGGAATGGACGTCTGTCATAGTAGAGCATCCTACAATCGGTGTGGGCAGGAAAAAATGGCTGATCAGAGTAAAAACTTCTTCCAGGTCCCCGTGGTTCAGATGGGACAGCAATGTCCCTTCCCGTGTGGTGCTGGCAGTGGTGGGAGCAGTGCCAAGCCGGTTCTAACCAGTCTCTCTTCTCTACCCTCTGTGTCAGCTGTCAGGCCTCTGTCCACTCATCTCACGCTCTCCACAAGCCTGAGAAACTTCACTCCGTGTCAGCCTCGGGAGCACAACCTCAGCGTGTCAGCCGCAGCCCAGCCAGCGGTGTCGCCAGTGGTGCGCCATGGCCATATCGTCGCGCCTTGCCCTGTGGGAGCAGAAGGAAAGTGGTGTTCCGGGGGCTGTGGTCACAGGGCCGGGACTCTACCCTGGCAACACGGGCCACCTTCCCACCTCAGGCAGTGTGACAGCCCACTGTCTCCACATGGCAGCCCAAGGAGCTTGGGGTGGGGGAGGAGGGAGCTGTTGGCTGCCAGTCTAATGCTGGAGGGTTTCTGTGAACCTTCTCTGGTCACCACAGAGACCTGAAAAAGGCTCTTACCCTGGTCACCCATTTCTTCCCATTCATACCTATCGTAGGATGCACTAAGAGCTCCCTTGTCCTCCACTCCCGTCCTCCTCTCTTCCCCTCCTGTCTCTTCTCCTTCTTGCCCCTCCTTTCTTATCCTTTTCCTTCCCTTTGTATAGATGATTTTCCCCAAACCTTTCTTTCCTTTTCTTTCTTTCCTTCTTCCTTCCTTCCTTCCTTCCTTCCTTCCTTCCTTCCTTCCTTCATTCCTTCCTTTCTGCCCATGGTGGGTTACATCCATAGACACAAATAGGAAATCCAACTGCGCAGGCCATGGCTAAAGGTCTTTCCCTCCTTCTGTGGTCTTAGCACACAGGAATAATCTGCTATGTTAATCCAAGTCCCCAGGAGACTTCTTCAAAGCAACTGGGAGGTACCACAGAAGCAAGCTTAGAGCACAGTGCACCCTGGGAGTATCCCAAGGTTAGGTGGGAAAGGCATCTTCTCCTAGAGTTCCTTCAGTGCCCGCCTGGGGCCAGAAGCACTAGGCACGGGGGCCCAATGTGTGATTCACCCCCTTGACATCCCAAAAACTGCTTTGAGAACAGGAAGGAGCCCTGTGGTTTTGATGGTTTGAGTTCCTCTCAGGAGGAGACTCTCTCCTGTGTAGACGCTGCTATCCCTGGCCCATCCGTTCTCTCTCTCACGCTGTCTCAGCCTCCTGGCATCCTTCAGAGCCCTTCCACTTTCCTCTCGTGCTGTTCCCGAGGCAACCCCCAGGCAGTGTCCCAGACGGTCTGGAGGGGGCCCTAGCCCTGCAGGCTCACTCCCAACTCTCTCCACACACAGATTCGAGAGGAGGACAAGAGCCCCCCTCCATCCTCCCCACCTCCTTTGTTCTCCGTCATCCCTGGGGGCTTCATCAAGCAGCTGGTTCGAGAGACAGAGAAAGAGTCCAAAGAGGCTAGGCGGAGGAAAGAGGCAGCGCTCGCCTCCCCAGAAGCAGAGGTGAGTGGTGGTGATGTATGTGGGGGGACAAGCACTGGGCACGTCCGTCCTGCCCTGAGTCAGTCATTCCATCCTTGCTCCCACCGTCCTACTGTTTCTTGTACTTGCTTTGTTGAGCTCCTATGTAAGCTAAAATATCCATCTCCTATTGCCCACCCCTGGAGGGCCTCACATTGCTCTACTCCCCGACTCCCCCATGCGTGTTTTTCTCGAGACTACACCGTGCTCATTTGATCACAGGTCTTATTGGGAATTCGTTAACAGTCACAGCTGCCGCTCACCCAGCGAGCTCTATATCAGCTCTCAGGCCTTGAGCTTCCTTCTGTTCCAGGCGGGTCTGAAGTTTCTGCTCCTCACGTGTCAGCTTCCTGGGTAGCTGTGGTTATAGGCCTGGCTCAGTTCCCTCATTAAAGCAGAAAAGATGCTGACACAGCTCTTACTGGGCTAACCTGAAGCTGAGCATCAGCATCCTTCTGGGTCAGGTGCATGTGCTGGGGATCCCCCGCCCCAGTGCCCTCCAGCTGCAGGTCTCCCAGCCCCTCCCAAGTCTCTTGAAACATCCAGCACCCAGTACAAAAGGGTTAATCTCAGCCAGGTCGGAGAGCCTGGCTGCTTACTTGGTATGGTACCCTTCTGATTGGTGGCAGGTCCACTGCAGAACTTTTGCCGTTCTGAATGGCACCAACCAAAGCTAGCCCACGGAAGGGGCCAGTGTCGCTGGGCAGAATTCCAAGGCTGGACACTGGGGAGGCAGGCTTGGAGGACAGTGCATCCTGGGAGTAACGCTGTGTTAGGCAGACAGGGCTCCAGCTCCTGGTGCTTCTATTGCGCCCTCTTGTGGCGAAGAGAGTGATGGCAGTGCTGGGCTGGAACTCAGGGATGACGAAACTAGGCTTTCGCCCTAGTTCAGAGAGTCAGCCCGGCTCCTTCCTGGTCTCCTCCTCGGTTCATTTATGTCACATGTGCTTGCACCGGTCTAGTGACATAGGCTTCTCTGTGACGGCGAGCTGCTCACAATCGACTCACAGCAGCTGTGGGGACAGTGGTCCAGTCTCATAGAAGAGGGTCCTGTGCCTGCCCCTGCCTGACTTTAAGCACAAAGCAGAGGCCACAGCATGCCTTATGGATAGGAATCCAGTTATGATGAATGTCCCTGCCTGTCACCAAACAATGCTCACTTAGTGCTCGTGGCCCTGTTGAAAACTCAGTGCCCTAGTGGGCATGGGAGTCATACCCATTTATCAGCGGTGGAGACTGAGGCCCTGAGAGGCCAAGATACTTTCCCCAAGGTCACAAGACCAGGTAGAGGCACAGCCAGGCCATGCAAAGTCTTCACTCTAGAGCTGCCTGGGCGGGGGGAGCAGGACATGTGGGTAAGGTACAGGAAACAGAGTAGACACGGAAGAAGGAGAAAGGGTTCACCTGCTGGGTGTCACGATCAGTATGAGCAGGCATGAGGTAGCAGGGAAGGAAGGGGTGGACAGGCCAGGGACCAGAGTGTAGGGTCAGTGGAGACAAACTGACCCTGAAAAGGCTTGGAGGAACCCCATTGAGGGTGTGTTGTTACACTTCCTGTAGACCTGATGGGTTATAAAATGACAATTGGCTGATGGGTGGGGGATGGGCAGATGGCCTGGACAGCAAATGCGAGAACCAGAGTGTCTGGAGTGAGCACTGCCTCTGCTTTCCTACTCTGAGATTCCAGAAGACCTAAACAGCATGCCTGTATTGTGTGGGAACCAAAGCTCACAGAAGGTAGGAGGCAATGGGCCACAGTCACCAGGCATCAGGCCCATGACGAGAACGTGTCTCCCTACCGACGATCTCATCAGGAGGACTGAGGTAGAGACAGGAGTAATAGCCACAGTTGGTGCAGCTCCTGAGAGCTGACCATGCTGGACCACTCTCAGTCCTAACCCCACACTGCAAGGCGGGGCTTTATGATCCTCATGCTATGGGGAAGAAATTGGCTCAGAGAGGAGAAGGCATTTACCCGAAGACACACAGTGGAGAGAGACAGAGGCAGAGTTGAGTTTGGTTCTGTTGGACTCCTGCGTCAAACTTCCACTCCTGAATCTGCTGACCTTTAGCCTCTGCCTGGGCTGAATCTCACTGCCAAGCACAGAGTCTACGGTGTCAGAAGGGCCTGGGCGTCTTTGGGTAGGTGAATCTGGGTATGAATGGCCACTGGTGAGTCACCCAGCAGCTAAATACTTTGTGGTCTTTTTCCTAGACCCCAGAAGTCCCCACTAACCAAGCCAACAAGACCAACATTGTCCCCAAGTCTGGAAGTCGACGGACTTCCCAGGACAGCTCATCAGCCACTCAGAAGGATGCCGACATTCCAGGCAAGGAGCCCCCAGAGGCCCATGACAAGAGCTCCACCCCTGTGACCAGCACCAGTGGAGAGAGGCCGCAGGAATCGAGTCCCGCAGGAACACCAGCCAAAAGGACCCTGCCCCTCAAGAGGGGCGTGAGGAGGGGCGATGTGCTGCTGATGGTGGCCAAGCTGGATCCAGAGTTAGCCAAGCCAGAACAGAAGACCCAACCTCGTGACACCCCCAAGGACAAGACCCCAGCCACAGACCCTGGAGGGACAAAGAAAGGGGCAACCACAGGGGCTCCCTGTGCCCCCCAGACACCTGTACCTGAGAAGAATATGACTGGGGATGATGGAGCCACAGGCCAGGGCACAAAAGATGGGAAGAGTCAGGGCTCAGAGGGGGAGGGGAGCCGGGACCCCCAGACCAAAGGACAAAAGGAACGTGAGTCCCAGAGCACAGAGGGACAGGGGACCAGGTCTCCAGTCCAAGGGGGAGGAAAGAAGGGACAAGTGGGAACAGTGGAGAAAGAAAGAGGGGGTCCCCCAAAGAAGATGGAAAAAGGGGATGGGTCGAAGGGCTCAGGAGCTGAAGTGAGACCTTTGGAGCCCCCAGTCCCCATAAGGAAGTGGGGAGGGTCCCTGGGCCGAAGGAGCAAATGGGACAGTCCTCAGAGCAAGAACAGAGAAAGCGAATCTCAACATAGGGGTGAGAAGACAGGAAAAGCAGAACCCAGGGGGCAGCAGCAGGAGGCCCCAGGGAGCATGGGAAAGGCCGAGGGACCCCAGAAGAAGCCGGTGACACCAGAAAAATGCCAGGAGCAGCCTGAGGTGGCAGTGGAGACTCAGAGTCCCCAGGAAAGCTGCAAGGCCCCAGCTGGGATACCTACAGAAGGAACCTCGGCAGAGGCTGCGAGGAGGGAGGACCAACTGGAAAGCAGGGTGCAGGTGGCCAAGGAACCTTGTGTGCACGCAGAGGAAGAAGTGGACATTGTGGAGTCTCAGGCAGAAGGGCACGTAGAGTCCATTCCTCAGCCCCATTTGGAAAGGCCTTCTATGCAGAAGCCTGTGGAAGAGAAGCAGGTCCTGCAGGACCCAGGCAGCGGGGGCCAGAGTGGAGACTCTGACCAGGTGATGGGCTGTGGGCTGTGGAGCTTGAGGGATGGGAAGGACATGCCTTAGGGGAGCCACAGGGGGAGGAGGGCTGGCCAGAGCCCAGCATGTCAGGGAACCAGGAGAGCTCTTCCCTGAAAAGTGAGGCCCCTGGGCTCCAAGTGGCCCCTGCCCAGGCTAGACTTCTCCTCTGCCCACTCCCCTATGCTACTTAGTGCTTGCCATGTCCCATGTCACCCACAATTCTCCGCAGTGACATGTAGTTTCCCAGGCCCTGCGCCCGAGGTTCCATTAGAAGGTTGCGACCTCTGGCGCTGTGGGAAGCTGCAGGTGTGGAGTCCCCGCACCAAGCCTGGGCTGGAGGTGTTTGGTGATTCAGCGCTGCTCTTTCTGCTCCCAGGCCTCAGGGGACAGCTGGTACGAGGCGCAGAAAGTCTGGCTGGTGCAGAAGCAGGGATTCACACTTGGTGAGTGGGTTCAGCTGGGGGGCGCGTCCCTGTTCTCCTGTCTCTCCCACCACCAGTTCTCGGCCAGTTAGATTCACTCTCGGAGCAAGGAGAGGAGGGACCCAGATGAGAGTGGGCTGCTCAAAGGCGGCTGGGCCTCTGGGATGAAGAAGTAGCACACAGCATGGATTCCAGAGCATGACCAGGACCGCGGCCCAGAGCCAGCGTACAGCCAAGACCGCAGCCCAGAGCCAGTGGGCAGAGAGACAGCCTTCTCCCTAGCCCATGCTTGTTCACTAGTTGAGGATATAGGCTACATTCTTTTTTTTTAATATCTATCTATCTATCTATCTAGATATCTATCTATCTATCTATCTATCTATCTATCTAGATATCTATCTATCTAGATATCTATCTATCTATCTAGATATCTATCTATCTATTTATTTATTATGTATACAATATTCTGTCTGTGTATGCCTGAAGGCCAGAAGAGGGCACCAGACCTCATTACAGATGGTTGTGAGCCACCATGTGGTTGCTGGGAATTGAATTCAGGGCCTTTGGAAGAGCAGGCAGTGCCTTAACCACTGAGCCATCTCTCCAGCCCCTGTAGGCTACATTCTAAGTCATTTTTGTTCTAGAGAAGAGGGATCCATTTGTACCGCCTGCCATGGAGCTGGAGGGCTACTCTTCTGTCCTGACCTAGGTGTGGGGTGGATCAGTGGGCCCCACCCTCTAAGGGGCCTGCTCAGTGCTGGGCCCTGTAAGTCAGACCCAGCCTTTGTCCCTAAAGGGCTTAGGGCAGTGATTCTCAACCTTCCTAACACTGTGACCCTTTAGGACAGTTCTCCATGCGATGACCCCAGCCATAAAAACTATTTTCATTGCTACTCATAACTATAACTTTACAACTGTAGTGAACTGTGACATAAATATCTGTGCTTTCTGAAGGTCTTAGGTGACCCCTGCGAAAGGGTCACTTGACCCTCCTGAAGAGGTCACAACCCACGTGAGAACTGCTGGATTAGGGGGTCACAGTTGAGGCCCTTTATGCGAACAGGGACGATTAAACTTCTCAACCTGTCCTAAGTTCTGTCTCCAGCTCCTTGACCTGACTCAGAAACCCTCCCTTCCCCTCCTCTCCCCCTCCCTCCCCTCTCCTCTTTCCCCCCTACCTCTGGCTACTCACACAGCCACAGTGCTCAAACCAGATGAGGGGACAGCTGACCTGCCGGCTGGAAGGGTGCGCCTTTGTATCGATGCTGACAAGACTGTCACAGAAGTAGACGAGGAACAGGTTCACCGAGTGAGTTGCCCTTCCCTCCCACCATGCTCTGTACCCTCCGTCCCCACCCTGCTAGAAGCTTCCCTGACCCTGCCTACAGATGTCTAGAGGGGTTGTGGGGAGACCCCTATGGAAGTCATTGCTCTGCTGGTGGATCCCATCGTGGGACCACTCACTCTAGCCTCTCCGTGAAGACAGGGACCACTCACTCTAGCCTCTCCGTGAAGACAGGGACCACTCACTCTAGCCTCTCCGTGAGGACAGGCTGCTCAGTCTGTTGCTGTAGTTCTGACCGACCCGAGCAACAGATTACTCTGCATTTTGTGAAATTCATTTTATGGACATGCTTCCCTTTTCACCCTGGATGCCAGGGAACTCCGTTAAATGGGAAACTTGTTGCTGTAACGTAAGTTCCAATGGCCTATACTTTGGGCATCAACCTTTCTCTTAGGGGGTTGTGTGTTTCTTCATGGGAGCCCTGGTAAAGGAGAGAGCTGGCCACTGACTTCCACCCGTGGGTGTCACAGGGCATGTCTAACATGTCTTTCTAAGACCTAGACAAGGAGACAATTGCAAGGGACATGTGCCCACCTGAAAGCCCCTGCCCAATGAGCTCTGGGTTTTACTTGGTCTGACACTGACCTCACAGGGCAGTGCATCCAGGAAGGAGGACAAACACAAAGAAAATAGGCAGGGTAAGCAGAGGGGCTGTCGCTTTTCATCCGTGTGCTGGCCTTTGTCACACGGCTTTGAAATGACAAGACCAAGCAGTATGTGGGCACACGTAAGCATCCAGGTGTGTATATGCAGGCACATATATGTCTGTGCATGCATGGTGGTGTGAATGGGGTAGGGGTCGAGGAAGCCAGGAGAAATCCCATGTGATGTCTGCAGGCCAACCCGTCTGAGCTGGACCAGGCCGAGGATCTGGCTTCTCTGGTCAGCGTCAACGAGTCAAGCGTTCTGAACACGCTTCTACAACGTTACCGGGCTCAGCTGCCACACACCCGTTCAGGCCCTGATCTGATAGCCATGCAGCCCCAGAAGACCACAGTGCCCTCTGCAGGGAAGGTGAGGTGGGGCTACGGTGGTGGGCAGGGACAAGTGGATGACTCTTCTCCTGGACACTAGAGGGGAGGACAGAGTCCAGCACCCAGGGAGGACAGAGTCCAGCACCCAGGGAGGACAGAGTCCAGCACCCAGGGAAACCCTCAACTCGGCTCGGGATGAGAATCTGGGCCTTGGCAGGCGCTGAGGACCGTGTGGCCCCCTGCTCCCTAGAGGGCAAAGGTGAGCTCTGGTCCAAAGTCCGGGTGGCGTTAAACACTAGCTGTGACCCCCACCTGGAAAGCCATTTCACTGAGCCAAAGGCCAGGCTGCAGCTCCTCTTAGCTCCTAACATATGCTAGACTCAGAAGTCCCCCGCACCCACATCCGTGTGAGACAGTAGCCCCGTTTACCCTGATATTTATTGTCCATTAAGTAGAGGAAAAGGCATTTTTGGTGGGGATTAGGCATGAAAACAAAGGCTCATGGCGCCACCTGGTGGGCAGGCTTGGACCACACCTGTGCCCTCTGAGCAGTCCCAGGCAGCTGCTTGCTGGTGGGTGTTGGGTTCTTAGGAGTGCCAACTCTGCTGCCCGGTTGGCTTCTAGCAAGGGAAACAGTCACAGATGGTAAAATCCATGGTGGCCAGAGTGGACTGGACACATGTGGATCAGGGTGGGACTGGAAGAAGTCAGTCGGCGAGGTGCACACGTCACAGGTCCTGGGTCTAACTGTACAGTGACAGGAGCCTACTGAGGATGCACAAGACCCTGGGCTGCAGACAGATGGAGACGGGGATGGTGTGTGAGCATGTCCTTTGTGCGCTATTCCTGACTTGTGAAGATGGGCCCTGGGAAGGCCATGATGTTCCCCAACCTTGACACTCAACTGCCACTCAGGGCCGCAAAGTCACACTATACTCTTTGGAGTCCCATGGAACAAAGCCCACCCAACGTCTCTCGTCTCAGACTGGAGGTCATAAA